AAAAGCTCCTGATGACAAAAGATCCATTTCATATGAGCGAAAGTTGGAGATTAATTGCTCGATGTCTTAAGACTTGTGAGTTGCGACAAAGGTGGCGGTCCCTCTCCTTAAATTATGCTGTTTTGAGCTGACTGGCTTTATCAGATCAATACAAATCACTAGGGCATACTGTTTTTTATTTTATTTGAATGAATATATAAGGTCATAAGTAAGGTTTGAAATATAATAAGTATTGTTGTCTGAGGCCTAAAACAACTTCTATAAAGTTTTCAGCGGTAAAAATAGAAAAGCATGAACATGCTTGTCATTATAAGTATGGATGTATAATGCATGATAGCTAGCACATGTAGGGGCCATTAAAACTGCTGTTTTTAATTTTCTTTGCAGAATAATATAAATTTGGGAAATTTATATACATGCCACACAATTCTTAGGTATTTACATATGTGACACGTTAATTATACATGCGTTTATTAAGTTCTTCTTCCCGCCAGCTTATTAATAATTTAAAGGTCGGATTACAATTAGGCCATCATTGATCTGCTTCTATTTACTTTTGTATTTTGATGTGATGTGGAAATTCTGGGTGGTATGAATGTACAAAATAAAATATAGATGTTAGATATGTAAAAACATAAGAATTCGGGATATGTGTGTAAATGCCTCTTTTTAATTTTGTTTAAAATTTCTAAATATTATACCAACCTTTTATATGCTAGTTAGTAATAATAACAAAATATAAATTTTAGAAGTACACAATATTATGAATTCATCATTATAAGCAATTATGTTACTATATATATATATAGAGAGAGAGAGAGAGAGAGAGAGAGAGACAGAGAGAGAGAGAGAGATTTTTATTCTTTTTTTCTCTTCTCTAAAAGGAAAACGACATTTGTAAGAGGCTTAAATAACTTTTCTCCATGCACTAGGTCTCATGATGAAAGCCTGCGTCATGTGCCTAAATATTTGATAACACAGGGTCACTGGGGATCCCCATGACCTGAGGGGACTTACAGTAAACCCCGCCAATCAACAGACACACACACACACACACACACACACACACACACACATATATATATATATATATATATAGAATATATAATATATCACATAACACTCTAAATAATTACATTTAAAAAAAATAATTATAATGTATAGTTAAAGCTGACACCGTACGTTAAATTTCACTGATTTTATTATGATATTGTCTTTACATTACTTTTAATTTTTGAAAAAAATAAGCATAGATTGTCCCAATTTAGCTTGCTAGTTAATTTTGTTGACCATATTCTAGTAAAGTTTAGCCAACCAACAACATCAAGCATAACATACTGACTCTCTTTATTTAACGAGAACAATCAACGGGCCATTCTAGCGTAGCCAACTGGCAGCACCCATGAATGGCTCTCTAATGTCAAAGGAAGGTGGAGCCCGGTCCACTGCACAATTGTTAATCTTGTTTAAATCCTTCCATATTCTTCCATGAATCGCCTGTTTTTCTTCTGCCCGGATTGCTGCCTGCTTAGTTTGCTCTCCCGCCCCTTCTGTTGTCGCGGTTCGGGTTTCCTGTTCATTGGCGATAGGCTTGCGCAAAAAAGGAATCACAAATCTCCTCTTCGACATTGGTTTTTCCCGATTTCCTCTCTCGGTGGGCGTGTCTTCGGCGTGAAGCTTACGAGAAGGAAGAAAGATAGGGATCGCACGGCTTGCTGCTCCCTTGAGGTTTCTTCTGCTCACGTGGCTTGCAGATTGTGAAATCAGGGAAATGAGAGGAGAAAAAGAGAAGAAGAATAATAGAGTTATTATTGTAATCGTTGAGGCGATCGGTACATGTAATTTTCGAGTAATAAAATTCTCTGCAACTCCGTGGATGTAGGTAATTTATTGAACCAAGTAAATCTATTGGCCTGTTGTTTCTGTGCAAATTTCTGTTATAATTTTTGTTTTATTGCCGTCCTTTTTTCACAACATCTAGTCCAACTAATTGAGTCCTAGAACAGTCAGGCTTTGAGCCCATGTATGTAAAATATCTATAAATTTATATATAATCTCCACTAAAGTAGAGTTATAAATATAACTTCACATATTTATGCATTTTTTCTTCTATAAATAGGGGATCATTTTATGAACAAATTGTTACACACTTCTCTAAAATTGATGTTCATTAACGTGCATCACCCTCTCTCTCCCTCTCTCTCCTCTCTATTTTACACTATTCTTTGGTTTTGATTCAAGAACAAATCAGAACCCAATAAATGTGTTTGAATAGACTTATGAAATAAAAAATAGCACCTGAAAGCCATATTTGTTTGCAACCTTAGAGCATGATATCCATAATTGAATGCGTCGTTTTAAGAAAAAAAAAATTAGCAAAGGCAGGGCTTGGTTAAGAAATTGTTATAGAGCAAATTTGGATTCAGGCCAATCCAAGACAAATTGATTAGAATCATTTTCCAAAGCCATTTAATCTAAGTTTTTGAAGTAGGAGGATCCATGCATATAAAATTAAAGATTATATAATTTTTTTTCCAAATATGGAACATAAATATATAATAATATCAATTGCCCTCAAACAAATATTTTTCGCATAATATTATTATGGCACTAGCCACTACACTAAATAACTTACAAGATAGTAACTTAAGAAGAAAGTAAAAAAAATTCAATAGGTAGAATATTTTTTATGAGGTACATAGAGACAAAGCATTTTAAGAAATATATGGTAATCACATTTGTCTTCTAGCAAACCCTAAAACATAGACATTTTATGGTGTGAGTTTGTTTGTATTTATTTAACCATACACATTTATACAAGTTAGCATGAGGAAGGGAAGAGAAAATGAAATGTTTTACATTTGATAAGAATAGAACATCTTTTATGTTTCTAAAGAGTTTTATCAACTTGCCAAGCATTTTAGTACCAATAATAGTAGCAAAATTTGCGTACGTGTCACAAAATTCTAATGGATTTACACATCTAATGCCTAGATTTGAATTTATGTTTATAACACTTTGGTGTCACAACTTATGTATGAAAATGTGTATTTAATTTTTAAAAGGTAAGGATAGTGGTATTTTCAATGTGATGTTTAAGATTTGAGTAGTATGAATGTAAATATGAATGTTTCGGGGTTAGATATGTAAATTTATAAGAATAATTGTAGGGTATGCATGTAAATGCCTCGTTATAGTATTGCAACAAATATATTTACCATTTTATGAGTCAGAGCAAGGGGTTTTTTTTTTCTCATTTCCAACTATATATGAAAGGGATCTTCAAATTGTGGTACTAATCTCTTTCAATGCCCTCCATAAGTGGGAAACATAGTTAGACCTTTTTATATTATTTTAATTATTATTTTTTTATTTTTTAGTCGGTGATTTTCAAACACGATACTTTCCAGTGCATACTAAAATGCCCAGCCACCAGGTCATTATAGATGAGGCAATTGATCACCATGAATATTGGCATCATTTGAGAAGGTGGTTAAGTTTCGTTGTGTTGGAGTGAATGTTGAAGCCTCCAAAAAATTTTGTATGGTAAAGAGAGGGAGACGAATGTCTTATGAAGTTTTTCGTAAGAACAACAAATTTTTTGTAATTTTAGATCGTAGCTGGCCTCCTTCAGTTCGACGAACACGACTTTTAAAAGAAATTTGTTGAACGGTCACACTGCTCCAAACGAAGCCATATACTGCTTCTGTGCCGATTGTGATATATATGTAAAAATTGAAATATAAGTGTTGGATATATAAATACATAGAAATGGAGTGACATGTATGTAAATCTCACAAAAAATATTAGGGTATTTACCTAACAAACATCTAAATTTTAATTTTTGAGTATACATCATCCAAGATATATCGAAAACATAAGGATATAACAGTCTATATTTAAAAAAAAAGTGAATTTTTGAGTATTGATTTGAATGCATAATATGCACTATTTTGAAGATAGAACCAGTCCAACTGATCGGTCAAAATGGTCTAACTGGGAATCAAACATGACATTGGTCCGGATGGGAATAAAAACCAGATTTGTAGTGAATCGGAGTTGACCCGCTCAAACCTCCGGTCCCACCGAAAAAACCTTTCTTAACTTAAGAGTTCGAACATGTTTCTCGTCAGCGACATAATCGCTCGCAGTTCGTCGACAATTTGAAACAGATTGTCCGTTCCTTCTAAATTTTCTTCTGCTTTGATAGAAAGCTTTTTAAGGTCATTTATGAGATTTGTCTACAATTTATATTTTTTCAATATTTAGTTTTCATTTATTATTATTATTATTTTAAATTATTATGATCTTATTCTTATATTTCAATTATATTTTTTAAAAATTAATTGTTACTAAAGTTTAAAATACATGCTAAAATTATTAGGATGTTAATTGTTTAAATATTAAGTATTTATTTTATATTTTATAATAAAAAATTAAATTATATTATCTACACCAAATTAAAATAAATTTATAATTTATTAGGTTATTTGGTTGAATTTTCATTTTAATCCGTTTTTTGTGCCCGACAGAACTGTTTTTTACTTAGTTCTAAAAATGCTCGAATTGAAAGTTTGCATTTTATACTTGTGGTTGCTAGAAAGATAAAGCCTATTTTTTTTTTAGATAATATATAATAATCACTGTGATTTTCTCAATAACGAATTTTCTTCAAAAAATCAAAACTATTTCCACAAACAGCTCTTGGTGTTGTGAACAAACCCTAAAACTCTCTCTTTTACGATTTATCTTCGAGAAATTATTGCGTACGGGTGGTGTCTGATCCTGATCGTAGATCACGGTGATCTACGGTCAGGATTATTTTCGTTTTTTTATAAATTTTAGGTGGGGCTCAACGAAATACATCGGGACCGTAGATCATGCGATTTACGATTCGGATAGGACACTTGCGCGAGGTGTCCAATCCGTATGAAATAATTTTTCTTTTTATCTTCAGCCCAATTTTCATAACCTACGTCAGAAATGTTGTCCGAATCCGAGCCCTTGAGACTCTCTCAGGTCTGCAAATAAAAGAAGATGCGCCAACCATCTGAAAGTTTTTAATTTTGGAACCCTCACCGGAGCGATCTCGCCATGCCTTTTCTCAGGATGTATGGCAAAGTGGCATTGGATGTCATCGCAAAGGCAATACGTGTGGCAAAGGATAGGGAAGTCCCTCATCCTTCCTTCTACCGCGGACCTTCGTGATTTTATTCCAAACTCTCGAAATTCCATTGCCAATTTCCTTTTCTTCTGGTTGCAACGTAAGCGACCTCTGTTTGGAGTCTGTTTTGATTTTTGCTGGAAAGGGGCTCTCTTATACATAAGAGTTGGATAAAGAGGACATTGGCTGCAGAATCTTCCAGTCCCTCACTCTCTTGTATCACGAGAGAAGCATCGACCTGCTAGAGCCTTACGCAGGTATGTGCTGATCCTGAACAGATGTTTGTTTATTTAACTTTTTGCATCTTTTTTTGGGCCTTCATTCATAAGGGCTCCTTGGTTTAGATTTTCTTTTCTTATAACTATATCTTTTTTCCGGCAATCCATAACTCCTTAGAAATAGGTTCAGATTGATGTTAGGTTGTCGTCCTTATTGCTTTATAGCATGTTTCTGCTGACAGACTCACTTGGAATTTTGTTGTTTCTTTTTAAAACTTTGTTAGAGTTATCTCCCCGGCTTGGCTTCTCTTAGTGACAAAGTTGCCCTGAACAATATTTTGATTTCTCTTGGTAGTCTCTTGCTCAGGTTTGAAGTTCTTGTATCTTGTTCAACATTATCGAGTCTACTTATGTCTTGATTAAAGTTTCTAGTGAATTCAAGGAAAAGAAGGGTAATATCTATTGGGGTGCCAGCAGCTTTTCTATCTTAGCTAAACTTTGTTACTTAAATCCACAAATGGTTTTTTCGCTCGATGACTGTGCTTCTGAGCTCCATTTCAAGATTGAAATGTATCACCACTTCAAGGCTGAACCATTGAGTTTTTGAAGTGGCATATGTTTTGGTGGGTGTGTCTATATTAGATATCATTCGGCCAGTGTATGAATGTTAAAATTTATAAAAATGCATAAAAAAATAAAGAATTGTTATTTACTTTATGTATATAGCTATTTTTGTCACTTGTTTTTTGCAGATATTAGCATGTGTTGTTAGTTTACAGATTTTAGGATATTTAACTGTTTGGTTTGGAGAAAACTTGATGGAGAGTAAACTATTTTATAACATTGCTCACATTTCTTTTCATATTTTTAATACAAGCTAAATAGGGTTAATTTATTTGCAATTTTTTTTGTATTTACTCCTTATTCATTCCCTGAGCAGCAAACCAACAACGCTTGAATTCTTTATAGTACCAATGATTGTGTAGAACTAATTATTTGAATTTGCTTATTTCCTCAAGTTTGCAAAAAATTAAAGGGCTTTTTTTCGTGGTATTGAGTTAGTATGTGGTTTTTGGAGTTCTATGATCTAATAGTTTAAACGAGCAACCAGGCAAAGGATTCAAATACACACGCACACTCACACTCACACACTCTCCCTCTCTCTCTCTCTTTTTCTCTCTCGAGCAATTATTAGGTGTGGAGTATGCACATGCGAATTTCGTTGTATTTTGGTTGTATTGGTTGTATCAATACAACCAATATGTGGTACTGCAATATATCATTGTATCTGTTGAGACTTGATTTTGGAATCTGGTAAGCCCTGCATGTTTATTTTATGTTATTGAAGTTTTTGATGTTTAATTTAGTTGTCAATTTTTAGTAGTTTTGTTTAATGTCCGATGTATTAAATATCTTTGTCAAATTATAGAACAAACATGATTATATATTAAGTATATTTTAAACCATTTTTATGGGCATGATAAGTAAGAAAATAAAATGTTTCTTGTTAGATTTATGTTCCTAAAGGATTTGATACATCCTTATACAAGTGAGCTTTCTGGAACCATATGGTGTCTGTTTTACAAATCATTTTCACTAGTGTGTTTTAGACATGTTTTTCTATTTATTAACTATTTTTTCATAATTTTTGGAGTCAAATATTTTAAGATATAAATATATTTCTATAAAATTTATATCTATTAAATATAACAATTTCAATAATGAAATTTATGTCCTTTTAAAAAAAACTTTTTACCTTATAAATATCCTAGAGCACTACAGAAAGCATGGCATTTTTTTGTTTGTCTGTCACATTTTTCCCTTAGATAGAGAGTTTTTAGAGAGATAAAGGGGGATTTTAGTGAGAGAAAATTGGATTTGGGGTTCGTAGAGTTGATTTCGTTCGTCCGACCAGTTGGAAAAATTGTTTGGAACTAGGTATGCTACTGTTAACCCACTTCATATTTCAATTTTGTTGTTTTTTTGTAAAATTTTGGTAATTTATTTGTTGAAATTTTGTACAAATTTAGATCTACAGAGATTTATAAATTTGTCACCGCACAAATTTTTATATGCTGTAGATTATACAGTGCTGAACATATCGACTTAAAAATTTTTATTTTTCATCTGGTATTTTGTGTTGTATAATATTTTGTATATTATGACACGTGCATTAAACTTGATAGAAATGTTTGAAATATTGTTTTGAATATTTTATATAAGTGGTTTTGTAAATTTTTCTTGGCGATATATGTACATTATTACTGGTGTCTACTGGTATGTATCACTTTTACCGCATGTTGTAATATTTGTTATGTCCAATTGTTAGCATTTATATGTTTTTGTATCACAATATGTGCAAAAATGATAAAAATGAGAGGAGTTGCAGATTGTTATGATTGGGCGAATGTATGTTATGTGCAATCAAGTGAAGTTATAAGGGATTTAACACCTATGTAATTATCCATCTGTGTGTTTGATATGCCTGAACAAATGTGAATAAGTGGAGGTATAAGTGGAAGTGGAGTTATAAGGGACTTAGGAGAAATAATGAGGTGAGAGAAAATTTTAGAATAATTCAAATTAATATTTGAATTTAATTTGATTTCATGTTATTTTACGACTCTTATGATATCATGTTGTTTATACAGTTATTTAGCGTATGTCTACTACAATTACAATTTTTTTGTACTGGCATTGTGATAGATATTGCAAATGATATTTTGACATGTCAGATTTATTTACATCAAATGCATGTTTATATTTTTTTAAACATTGAAAACTGCAGTAGATTTTGAGTAGCCTACGGAGCTGTTGCTGCTCACCTTTATTTTACTCACATGTCTTGTTTCAAAGAAGGGTAAGACTCAAGTTGAGTAGAGACTTTTGCATTACTTGTGCGAGTTTGATTTTAAGTATGTCGGTATCTTAGATATTTATTTTTGATAGTAATGTTGACGTTTAGTTTTCTTGATGATCGAGATATTAAATCATGATTGTTGTACATGTTTCATTTTGTTTTATAGTGAGATAATCTAAATGAATTTTGGGTATATTTATTTTACAACATTTGATGATATTAGTGGCTACATGTGTAAAACTTGAAGAAAAAATAAGTAAATCAGATTTCTTCCAATAGAAATTAAGTAATAATTTATGTGTTATGATCTTGACACGAGGTGACTCGCCTCGATATGACGAGTTTCATCGAGCTGGGTTGTAACATAATATAACCAAACATACAATGTAATCCACACTTTCCTCACCTTTTTTATCCTCATGTAATAATTTTTCCTCATCCACACACACAATTGTGGACTCTCATGTAGCGACCATGAACATGAATGTCTTACTGAATTAAGAAATAGATAAATAATACCTATATACAAGTCAATTGATATGATAGCATGTTTAACACCTTAGTCCATGTTTTATTGATGTCACACGACCTGAATTTGTTGGCGTGCTTTACGAAATTTACACCAATAAAGGAGTCTTGGTTAAAAAACTAGTTATGCTGACAGTCTGTATAAACCATAGTCTGCTAGCTGCTTTGAAGGTCAAAGCTGGGTCGTTGTTTAGATGTATTGGAGCAACTCATCTTAAATTTTTTATGGAGAAAAATCTAGCCTGATCAATTGCATATTGAGCTAGCTTGAACCTAACTCCAAATGCATAAATTTTTGCTAGAAATACATATAATCATAATCTCATATTAAAAATCGTGATTTACTTTATATTAGAATACAATAATGAACTGATGACACATATACTCAAATTGAACACTTAACAAAGAAGGTTAAAATATGTATACTAACTTAAAACCTTCATTATTTTGAGTGGTTTCTTTTTCTTCTGTCAGGAGATCACCAAATTTGAGCCGACAAAGTCAGAGAATTTGAAATCAACAAAAAAGTATGCCAATGTCAAGTATAATTATGGGACAAGTTGTCTTAGCAGTAATAATGTCATTTTATTACTTGGGGATTATTTGGCTGCAAATTTTATGGGTATAGAATGAAAGAAATGCTTAGTTTTAATTTTTTATTGTTTGGTTTGAATTTAATCCATAATTGTTCATTTGTAACAAGTTTAAAAATCCTCTCAATCAAGTAAACTAATATAATGTGGCTTAATCTTCACCGCATGCTACCTTAGCGTTGATATTGTCATCTCAAACCTTGGCCTATAGGTTCAACCCCCACATCTTTGCCATCCTCGATATTGCTCTCCCAGGCCTCATTGTCATTGACCTGACAAACCATCTCGTCACCAACCCCGATATTGTCGTCCTGGACCTTACCTTTGGTGGCCTCGAGCTTGCATGAGGTCACCATCCTTTATCTCGTTGTGTCTTTACTCAAAAAATTGGCGAGATTGCATTTTAAGAATGGTCTCCTGGTGGTCCTTATGAACAAGAACACAATCTTGAGACTCTTGCAGCTCATGATTGTGCACCTTTAGCATCTTATGATTCTATGGTTGTGCTCTAGTCAACCAAATTGATGGTTTGATGATTGAGATTGTCGAGCTAAAGTCTTCTTTTGCTTATACATTAATTTATATGCATACCCTCTAGAACCAACTCACCAAGGGTGAGGCTAGTGTTGAGGAAAAGAAGAAATTCACCCTTTTAAGGAAAAGATTGGTCTTACTGTGATTCTTGATGAAATTGTTGACTCAATTCATAAGAAGTCCAAGAATTGCAAGCTGATCTTGCGGCCACTGATAGGTTTCTGGGGTCATCCAAGTCACATCAAATTTTTGCTAAAGGTGGGTTTATTCTATGACAACTTGAGTGCAACTATTTCTTTTATTTATCGCTAGAGCCTATTTTTGAATTTTTTCTTGGTGTCAAGCAAGGGTGGAGCCGTCTTTGTATGTTTCTAATTAAGGGTTTATTTTGTTCTAATTTTATGTGATAATCATTTTCGCAAGTGGTATATGATTTATGTGTGTAAGTTGAATGTTTATTTTTTTGTTATTGTGCTCCTTATTTAGACTCTCTAGCTTTGACACTTTGGAAATATAAATAAAGT